TGTTGCATTGCGCCTAATGCCGACTCAAGGACCGCTTGACGCATCGCCGCTGCCGCCGCCGCTGCCGCCGCCGCCGCCGCCTCCACCTCCGCCACCATGGCCGCCGCCGCCGCCGCCGCCGCCGCCGCCGCCGCCGATCCCGCCGCCGCCGCCGCCGCCGCCGCCGCCGCCGCCGACCCCGCCGCCGCCGCCGGCGGCCAGAAGCGCCCGCGGGAGGCGGCAGAGGCGGCGACGGCGGTGGCGGCGCTTTCCGCGCCCGTCGCCAATGCCGCCGCGACCGTCACGAACGCCACCAGCGTGGCTGTGCCCGCCGCCGCCGCCGTGCAGCCGCCGCAGCAGCCGAAGAAGAGGGCTCCCTACTTCAGATGGTCGGAGCAGAACGAGCGTGTGTTTGCGCGCGTTGTGCAAGAGCGCACCCTGAGCCCTTCGCCAAGCGCCTTTGAGGCATGGATGAACGAGTACGAGCCCGACTCCGCGCCACCGCACAAAGCGATCCAATCGCGGCTGCAGAAACTGCGCGCGAAGGCCAAGGCGGCCGAAGCGGCCGCTGCCACGACGTGAATGGGGCAAGGAGAGCAGCGGGGGAGAGCCTGCGGCGGAGAGCCTGCGGCGGAGAGCCTGCGGGGAGAGATCGCGGAGAAAGACTGCGGGGCAGCTCCCTTGCCGGGAGAAGGCACGAGATGGCCGCGTACTCGAGGCTGGCCGCGTACTCGAGGCGGCTTCCGCGTGAGTCTTGAGATGAGAGAAGAGGAGAGGGGAAAGGAGACTTTGTGCATATGTAGGGGAGATGAATGTACGAGCAGTGTACCATCCGGTGCACCTCTGGAGGCACCTGCGAACGCAGCACTCCTCGTCATGGATTTACGGAGGCATTGATGCACGAGGCAGCACCAACTGGGGGGCGTGGGCGGAGGAAATAGCTGCGGAGGTGTCAGCAGTAGACATGGTGGGATGGGTGCTGAGAGAGCGCAGCTTCTCATCGCAGCTGGGCATTGAGCTTTGTCAGCCGACGCATTGCGACGGCTGGCAAAACTTGACGCGCCTAATGGTAGGTTGAAAAGGTCAAAGCCGCAGTGGGTTCTGACGGCGCAGTGGGTCGAAACAGCACGGTGCTGTTCCCGGCGCTGCGGAGGCAGTGCGTTGAAAAGTGCGTTGAAAAAGCAGCCTGCAAAAAGCGCAATAGCGTAATCTGCCCGGTGGGCCCTTCGAGACTGGCGCCAGATGAGCCGAGGAACCGCCAAGGAGCTGCTGCAAATGACAGGAGAGAGCCCACCGCGCTCACGAAGCACGGCTGTGTCCTGCTCGCGGCATGAAAAGAATTTTATGAGGAATTAACTGTCTCGAACAGAATTCTAAAACAAAAGCACTGGCACTAACACAGGTACACCACTGGAGCCGCCTAAGCGACTCCCGCGAGGACGGCGAGGCACTTAGCTCCGTGCACTCGACCGCCCTCGCCGCTGTCGCGGGGGAGGGTGACT